ACCATGGGTCTTCTAACTCAGATTGTAAAACATTACAGTGATGTTCTTGAGGTACACGGTTGAAATATTAATACAACTAGTGAATCCATTTAGCTGGAATCAATACTTCCAGTTTAATCTGACAGACTTTGGATGTGTTCGAAACATAGTTGAGTTAGGATTTTAAGTGAATTGAACATTTCGATTGCGTAATCCCTACCTCACGCTTATATCTCCACTAAATATTCCTTTTCTCTGTGTGAATAATTCGAAATATATGTAAGTTAGTTTACAGTGAATATGGTGCAATTAATTAGTCACTGTAGATGGCGGGTTGACACGAGGTAAATTCTTGCTAACCTCACTATGCCAACCATTTATGTTCCACCGAGACTAGTGAATAAGGATTACCAACTTTTGTCGATTATCTAGTAACTAGATGAATAAGTTGTCCTGCATGAAAAGTAAAAATTATGCATTTGATTCTGTGTTTGACCACAGAAAATAAATTACTGTGAAATCTCAAATCCGGTTAAAGTAAATACTCTTTTTTAATTTCTCAGTGGATTTTGGTACCTTGTGATGAGCAGATTGTTACTTTCGAACCCAATTTAGACAGAAAAATAATAACATATTCTATCTACACATGTCTTCCTTGTTTTATGTTACTTTCAGTAAGGTTATTTTGTATTTAGATTACACGATGGTACAAAATGTAGTTAAACCCTTACTCACTAACATAAATCTGGAGTTTACTTTCTTAAATTGCATTTATTTATCAGTCCCCATAAAATTATCAAGTACTCTAATGCAATATTTTAGTGAATAATTTCCACACAGACACTTTGTTTGATTTATTCAAACTAGTTACTCAATCCTACTCGTTGTTCCAAGCATCAAATATTATACCTGCCAAAATAACCATTTGAAAAATTCTGCATCGGAATGGGTCGTAGCCTGTGGTTTTCTTGAATTCATTTCATAGCGTCATATAGCAGCTGAGTTCATCAGCCAGATATAGCATAAAAAGTTCATTAAATAGTGTTTTTCTAATATTTGGAAATATATGAACACAATATTGCCTTATTTTTCAGCAATAATTAAGCCAATGAACATTAAAAGGGCTAATGAAGTTGGAATTGATTGTATGATGAGTATCCTATATTCTATACAAAATGCAAAAGACCACTTATATTCAGCCAATCACTACAAGAACCTGGAAAATAAAACCCTAACATTAGGTGCACTATTGGCATTTATTATTTGTCAGTCTATAGTCCATTACGTTTTGTTCATTTTGCCTACACTGTTTTATGTTAGTAATGACAGTGAATAAATAACAGTTGATTTTCAAGATAGCGTTATATTGTCATCAGATCCCACTTAGTTGTCTTGTTCATATGGAAACAGTCAGTAACTACGAGGTATCTACACACGAAACCTGTATGTCAGCAATGAATGATAAATTCTGTACAAATCAAAAACAAATTCTGAGCTGTAAACTCAAATTATACCACCTGCATAAAGAGTGTCCTGAGATGCTTATTCTTCTAACTTTGTGACCACAACTTAAAATGATTTATGATATTCGACGAACATGAAATTGGTTACTGTCCAGTGACAGCCCAGAAGGTACTTTATTGAATTACAACTCTATATGGCTTCAATAAACATTGTGCTAACACTGAATATGGTACTCAACACAATAGGTCAAAAGTTTAGACAAAACTGTCAACATCACTCAGGGTAAGAATGAAGAGAACTACGTAGTAATAGACAATTTGAGTTTTCCCGCTTTCTCTCAATATTATTTCAAAGAATTAAAACACGCAGTCAGTTTGTTTTAATCGTAGTATATTTCTTTGAATACTTACAAAATTATGCTGAATGATCGATGTAGTTTGTAAATATAGAGGAAAAAGTGAAGTTCGGATGATCTTCTCTTCTATCTGGAAACGTACAAAGAAGGAACAAACTGCAATAGCTTAAGTGCATAAAAATAAGTGTACTTGTGAGTTTTTTTTCTACATAAATAACGTGTTCTAACTCCTAGTCAGTCCAAAATTATCTCGATTATGATTTACATACTTTTCACCATAGTTAAGTCCGAAATAAATGTAAGCAATAAGTGTGTATGACTAAATTATCGTCAGCACTCCATGCGTTAAGAGCGTTCTTCTTCAATTCAAACGCACTGGATACCAAATACTGACAATGATACTTGTCATTTCTTCATACTTTCCCTTTAGTGGTAGTCGCAGTAGTAGTGGTTCCTATGAACATCTTTCAAGTGCATCATTTTTAGACTTCAACCGTATGCGCATTAAATTTTCGTCGACATAATTCAACTAATGTATCATTATGTATCTTCTGCTACAGCTAGGTGCATACGAAAGCCATTAAAGATTACTTCTCTAAGATGTAAAGATAACTTTACACTGAACACTGAAAATCATATTTCTGTTAAGTCAATCTATAAAACGTTTACCTAACATATATAAGGTCAAAGTTCTAGAGGCATGAGGATAGACAGCTGCATGTGATAAGGGAATTAGCTTTAGAAGAAAAAACATTCGAATCAACCACTGAAAATTAAAGTCCCGAATGTTTACCTCATCTGAGAACCACGTTTTTGATCTTAGGATTAGCTGTGAACACTAATGGCTGAAGACTTTTCTGACAGGTTGTATTGTAGGCCGAGTGCTACTGAATCTTCATTGATTTCCTGACTGATACAAGTTGGTGATAAAAAAATCTCCTTCCACCTTGAAGACATTCCTTTAGTCGTTTTTAATATGAGCTGTAGATGAACATGATTATTTCATCCACTGGAGATCAGTTTCCATCATGGATAGAAAACAGTGGGAGAACAGCTGAAAGCCAGTGGACATTGTACACTCATCTTGTTCTATTCTATAGGCAAATAAGCTTATTTGAAATTTGATTATTGACTCTAGCCATTTTTGAATAGTACGTCAACCATGAGTTCCTATGCGATAAATTGATAATTAATTCTTCTTAACTTCAGTGAATCCCTGGATCAGCTGTATAATCAAATTATAAAATGCACAAGTTTTTATTATTGCATCAAAAGTATTCACTACATATGAATAAACGTGCTTCTCTTCATTTGGCTCAGACTCACCTAAAATAATTGATCATCTTCAGTAAACTCATCTTCAGGATATTCATTATTTGCATCCATTGGACTGCCTCTATGTCTACTTAACTTATACTCTAAATTAACAGCTTCCATGTCCTCATCGTTTAAACCATCCATCATATCTTCATATTTATCTTCTGAATACTCTGTATCGTAGCTTATCCTGTCATTATAGTTATCGCTTATACTATCAACATCTTGGTTATCGTATCCAATAAAAACTTGTTTATAATCATTATAATTAGCGTCATGAAGTTCATGTTGACCGTCATATTCATCCTCATAGTAGTCGTAAAATGAATCTGTAGGATAAAAAATGAATCTGGTGACAAATTTACTAGTAATCAGTTAAAAATAATTTCACATAGAACCTTTCTTAGACACTGATTACAAAAATCTTAAGCTAAAACTTTTTTCTGCTCTTTAATGGTGAATGAAGTCTGTGAAACAATAAAATTCCCTAGAATACAATCAGAGATTTTGGAACTGGGAACTGATTTTTGAACTATGTGTTGGAGTGAGCAGATACAATTGCTTTCGAAGTGATGTCCACTACAAAGGATCGTTCCTATAGATGAGTTTTTGTTTCAACTCTAAAACAACAAATAAGTTCAACGCATACTGCATCAAACAAAGAAAACATTCCCGCTATTTCCCCTTTTCTGGTGGTTGTTTAGTAGATGATAAAACTACATCATTTTATCCGATCATCATTCCTAAGTAAGCGAAATATTTGACTACAATGAGGATTAGGTGAGAAAACTTGTATTGTACTCTGACAAGCATTTTCAGTTTCAAATTTTATTTATTATCAAAAATATATCCCACTTTGACCTAAAAAATAACTTGTTATGTATTTTCCTAGTGTCTTGAAAAGTACACTCATTCTAAGGAAGAGTTTAACTTATTACACTTTCGATGATATTAACATAGATTTCTCGTAAACAGCCTTAACAGATAAGATCCCTGAAGCAATAAACTTAAGGCTATAATTTGATGTAGGTTTAGGTGCAGATGATAAGAACTTCAGTTGGGCTAAAATTTGTAAAACGTTCTTTGTAAATTGTATCTAAAAAGGATATTCACCGAGAAAACTTTAACATGCAACTCATTACAGTTTTTAGATGGGTTTCAATAATCTTTGACCCAAGTGCCGTTGTTAGTTGTTTAATCTTGAGCAACAATAATATGACACTTGATGGTAATCACTTCTTCCAATAGGTATTAAAAGAAAGTAGGAGTGTATACAGCAGTTTCACAACTTAGCTTTTAAGCTGCATAACAGGAAACTCGAGAGCATTATGTTATGTTTCAAATGAACTGGTAAGTTCAACATGAAGTCAGTTAACATTTGAATTGTTTAGCAGTCAAATTTTTCGATCAAGTATTCAGTATCACTGATTCAAATCTCAGAGATAATAAAATATTTTCACTTCTGATATTATGCTTTTCTGCTAACAAGCATAAAACATAGTTGATACTCAGTTGCCTGCTAACTGACTGTTAACATTGAAAATTCATCAGTAGTTTACTTGTTCAACTTTAGTAGTGAAAATCTTTATTTTTTGTTCACAAACTGTAGATCCCAAACCTTCTTCGAATTTTAAAGAGGTTTTTTGAAAAATATATTTTACATGTATCATCCAGTAGTTCAGTAAACCCAAATTTCCATGATCTATGATATGAATCAAAAATTCGGTAAACATTCATAAATTTATAAATTTACCAGCGAAACAATACAACCGTCATTGAGAGTTCATGTGGATTCTTAAAACGCATTGTGAATCCACAACAGCTCCTATATTAAGTAGTGCAGAGTATAATTTGCACAAGTAACTCAGTGATTTTGAAACTAATGAAATGTGCAGCTTAAAATAGATTAGGTACAAGTCATATATCCTTATAAACATTACTTCACTAGTTCGGTACATCAACTTAAGCCAATCTGGATAGTTCGAATAGACGTCTTGTCTTCTGTCTTTAGTGATACGGACGGTAGATTAACAAATCTGTATTATGGTAGATATTTCTGTAAAGATCCAACTTCCTTTTGGACTCTGTTATTCTGGTAACTAGTCCTCGTGTTTTAACACTTCACGGTAAACTTCATTTTTATGTGTATTCGATTCGATTGCAGCTTTTGGTGTGACGGCATCACAGATTATCAGCGCTACTATGTAACGAGTGAAATTTACTTTGATTTTATGTGATAACTTCACATTTCCAAACAGTTTAGCCTAAAAACTCAACATGCTAACAAATCATAGCTAGTAATTTCACTTACAAACAGTCTTAAGAAATTTTATCATCAGAAGTGATAAACAATGACGTGGTACCGAAGATAAGATACTGAAGACGGCTGCTGACAATAGAACTGAGGAGGCGTACTTCGTCGTCTCCAGGACACATCAAGTGACTATGTATGGGTACGGTTTAAAAAGTTAAAAAATTCCCCCTCATAAATAAATATTTACTATAGCAGTCAATAGTAATAGGATAATTACATTCACAACCGATAAATAATTGGAACCTACATTTACATCCATGAATTACGGAAATTGACAGTATTGTCAAGATTAGAAGAACATTTCTAACCAATGAACACCTCATTCTCCGATGACAAATTTAAACACTGATAGAAAAAGTGAAGCAGGCAACTAGCTAATAAAGCAGTGCATTAAAATTACCCTTGGACAAGGTAATCTGTTTATATATATATATATATATATATATATATATATATATATATATATATATATATATATATATATATATATATATATATAAAGAAAGTAAGACGATGAAGCTATTTGCTAATTTCTGACAAACTAAAACAGAACTTATGTTCAATGTAGAAATCTGTTTTAATGGAGCGAGTTGATTGGTTACTTTATTGTTTATTTCTCATGAAAGTGCATAATATGCTTCTGTTGTTACTTAGGTCTGTAATGACAGTATTACTTGTGATTACAAGTCGTAACAATAATGACAATATATGTATTTGTGAGCGAAAAAACCATAATTAAGTAATTACATCAAGTGCTTAATTATATTTTAATGACGTTGATTAAAATGAATTAAAAATCCGGATGTGAAAGAATGATCGAAGTGTATTTCGGGATACATTACGGAAGTACAAAGTGTACTGAACCCTGATATGTGTACAGAAACGATTAAAAAATTCACAGAATATTCCTTAATTGCATTAAATATATGCATATCCCTGCAATAACTTGACTAATGAACCACTTCTTTTTTAACAGTTCCACGGTTATCGATGCTATAGGTTGTAACGGGAGTCCTGGATTTCACTGCTAGCCACTATTCATGATTGACAGTTTCACAAATATTTTTAAATACCAAAACACCAACAGCATGTAGTGCAATGTGTGTAACGTGCAGATTTCACTATGAGCTAATGAAGTGTACCTTTGGTTGACAGTGATAACTAAATGTCTTCTATATCAGTCATTAGCACAGAATGAAAAGAAAGTTTATGCAACTGTTTACAGGATATCTTTGGAAATATCAGTGATGAACTCGGCTTAATATCACCAGATGTTCTATTTGAGTTTTAGACCACCGAGTGAATCTTGCTGACTGGTGTCTCGTGCACTCGTTGGTTAATGCGCCTTACTCAGTTGTAGGGCTTTCTAGTATTATATACTAACCTACTGCTGTGAGTCACTTAGATAATTTCGTCAAACTTCTTTTAAAAATTGTGGGTTTCAGCAGAGACGGGAACTCAAAAATTGACAAAATTCTTTTCCTATCACTGTTATTTGATTTCTTTAGATAGGAATACTATCGCTTCCATGATTCTCAGAATATAATGATGACATCAGAAGTATATGTTCATTATTTCACTTATTAGATATCTCAGTGTTTACCCCAAATCAATTAAGTTGATCCCGAAATGTCATGTTTAAAAGATATTTTAAACGCTAATGATGAGTAATGGCTAATAGAGGATCCAAGACCTGCATTTTTTTCCATTCAATACTCATCAGCTAAATATACCTGGATCCTAGAAAGTAACGCTGTTTGAAAATAGATTTGAATCCACCATCCATCACTTCAAAGTTTAAGAGTTGTTCACTAGGTAACTAAATCAACGTAGCCACTATTAATGCAACGGGCATAAATTAATGTTTGGCTTGTAGTTTTCCCATTGACTGAACCAGATTGATGGAATACAACAGCTAAATGGGCTTCTGAGTAGCTTGAATATCGAAGCATCAATACAACCACCCATATCTCTTTAATGGCCAGTCAGTCTGTTCAGTCAACGACAGAAAACTCCAAGTTATAACTTCACGTATGTTAGATAAGAATTTTACTCAAATATGGTTAACCAAATACTAGATTTAGAATAAAGGAAGACGGTTTACTTTAATGTGTAGTTGACATTCGGTCGAAAGTGTTTTTCTACAAAAAGTCAGTGTTACTTACTTCTTTAACTCAGAGAGACTTTAACAATAAATTAACATTGAGAATTAGTAGACTAAACGTTAATAGTATTTGATATTCAGTGCCTACTTTCATATTTTGGTCATCTTATTTAATTGATGGTGAGAAAACCACTGAAAATCTAGGAACACTAAATGGCTCTTTCATTCTAGAATGGGAAGCCCACTACTTCATGAGAGATCAAGCTATGGGCTATGGGGTCTCATGGCGAGCACGTCACCACTCAGCAAATGGGTTGGAATTCAATAGTTCACGTTTTCTTACCCCTGCCAATTCAATATTTATTGTGATAATCGTCTAAGGGCATTAATGAGTATTTGTCCTCAAAATCGACTTGGCTGACACCCACAGATATTGAACACTCATTTCAACTTCGGTAAACCTATCTTGAAGCATCTGGGTTTCAAGCACTGAACAGCAATTTTCTGGGGTTTTCAGTGGTTCCCCAAAGGATGAATACCTCCTTGAAATCAACTTTTCAGATCCAATTTACTGTGTTCAGTTACGACGAGAGAAATGTACTACTTCAAGGGTCTGTCGTGTCGCCCCCTTTATGATAAGGATAATAGACATCTGGGACATGTTCTGTTTCATGTTGATTCTGTAAACAATTCCTCCAGCTTCCTCTTTCCATCCAACTAAGTTAGTTCTTACCATTATCAATCAGTGTGCCGTTGTGTATAATTACATAAATGGATTCAGCCAAGGTTTTACTCGATCAACTAGAATCTATAAGTCATGATGGTAATTGTAAGTTGAGTCAAGTCATAAAGACGTGACTAACAGATCATTTTTACTAGTCTGAGATACATTTTTCTATCCAACACTTCATGCAAATCCTTCTTTATTCATCTGTCGATTTGCAAAAGTAAAGTGAAATTATCGACTCTACATCTGCTTGTTTGCACTCAGGAATAATAAATAGATAAACAGATGTATTCCAGAAGGACTGTATGACAGAAAAGCTCAATGGTAACGTATCTGATTGCATCATTGAGTGGTGCGGATTTGAATCTCAGGCGTGAGAACGGTTTCCTCTTGGTTGCAAAAACTTCTTGTTGATGACTCCCAACAACCACGAGACTTAGGTTCAGGGCTTACTGTGGACCACCTCCAGCCAGGTTAAATCCAATTGGCAAACTGTCGTCCCGTATATATCCTCATATTATACATTTCTCAGCAACATGATAATGAACAGTTTGAATCTTCTTAGATTTAACTTGGATGTACAATCCTGAAATTACGGTAATGAATGGTATTGGTTTTTAGTTTTTAGAAGTACTAAATTTCATGTGATTTTCAAGGTACACTGTGTTAATCGAAGTTGAAAAGAAATAAATCTAAGTCCTAATATTACTGAAAACGGATATGGTTTCGATATCCGTGTGAAAATACCCTCTCTGATCGTTTGTCTGACAGATGAAAATACTCCGATTACAAAGAACAGTAACTAGAAGATGAACTTGATCATTGCATTATTTTTTCCTGATCGCCCATAATATTAACCATGTGGCTGAATCTCACTACAGCCTTTTACGTGTCACATACTATTTGGTAGCTACATAAATTTTTATAGACCACCAATAAACGTTGGTTTGAAGATAGATTTCGAAAACATGGTAACAAAGTTGACACTGATTAAGATGGTCATTAGAAGGCAGAATAAGGCCTTTATAAAAGTAGGAAACTGGACACATTATCAAAGTTTCTTTATGTAAAGAAGTCAGAATATCTCAGGAAGGTTTTTGAATTCTTGTAAAGAGACAGAATAACGAGATAACAGAAACTGCAACTTTTTGACGAGTAAATCTTCTCACCGCTTTCCATAAAGTTTTATTAGCTAACTAGCAGTTTCCTGACTCTCAGTTATTGGATATCTGAAGTGGTAGATATCTGCTTTTAACTTAGGAGTCAAGATCAAGAATCTCTGACATAGAAGTGTATTTAGCTAAAAAAAACTCGGAATGAGAAGGAACATGCGTTCTAAATTTTAATGACAGTGAGCATAAACTGATGCCAGCAGTAACGATTTCCCTATTCCTTACTGATCACCTCTTTGAGAGATCAACTGATTCATTCAGAATATACAGACACACTGGTGAACACTTGGTATATTTGTGTTGGTTCAAGTTTGAGTTACAGGTTTATTCTTTTATGATCTCAGGCTTCAATTACAATCAACCAGTCATTTTTGTAGCACAGTCACCATAGATATTACTATTTTAGGAATATTCGGAAGAGTTGCATTAAAGAGTATGACAAAAAAAGATAGAGAAATGACAGTAATTAAGGGAAGAGGCTATAACGTCAATGAAATTAGGCATTATTTATAAATACAGTAAAAAGAAATTCTCAGTTTACAGTCTTAGAGATTGATCAACGGTGACATCATAAACTTGACTGGATAGTGGAAGATGCTTGAAATATATCAAAAGAAGAACAACATCTAATCAATGGAGAAATGAAGGTCTTAGTACCTATCCTGTTACCAGAAATCAAGCGGAATTCGAAATGATGAACCTAAGCGTAAACTTATTCAACTAATTGAAAGCTTTCCAACAATTCACGTAAGAGAAGCAGAGCATTTAAAACATATACCTCTGGTTAGTCAAACGAAACTGTATCTAGTTAGAGAAGTTAACCATGGTTAAATAAAGATTTGAACATTAATCAAAGTAAAAGTCAATTAAAGGAAAGAAGTGTTATACGACTTCAACCATTCCAGAAGAATTTATCTTTTTCGCTTGCCCACCTGCAGTATACAGAGTGAACTAGACACAAATTCACCAAAATAATGTTTTTAAGTCAATTTAGAAAATTTCCCTGATGTAGTTACAAGCTTTGAAAGTTTTAACCCTGATGAAGCACTGATAGTATTTTCAGATTGGTAAAACTGAAGTGAAGGCAAACAGTTCCTCTAGTTTTTCCGTGGACAGAATCCGTGTGCTGACTAGACAGTTCATTGGTGAGGGTCAGGAAAGTACAGACCACCAACCAAATCGAATAAAAATGCATTCAGAATCCCCCTTAGTATCCTGTAGTAGTCATAAAATCATCCTAAAAATATTGTCTACTTAAAAACCTTCCCTTAAGCCTGATCTGTTTTTATCTTTAGCCCACAAAAATAAAGTGAATCTACAAGATTACCTTATAATCTGTATTGCAAAGTGATTCATCGTAAGGTCTCAAGATTAATGTGAACGTCTTTGAGAGTGTAATTACGCCTCTCTGGT